TCAGTCAATGATTATCTTTAGCTACACCCAATGGTTAAATTCGATTTTTTTTACAACAGCTATAACTTCTTGCATCCCCGCATTGAGAATTCGCATTTTTCGTCCACTTTGTACAGGTATATTACCTCATGAAAAGCGATTGCTATCCGCGTTTCCTAGAATCGCATTTTTATCGAGATTTGCTACCAGTGGAACCGGTCAAAAATAATCCAGACCCATCTCCGAAGCCATGCTCATCATCTTCGGCGGTTGACGTTGTAGGTCGCCGCTTCTCAATGATGATTTCCCCGATGCAACCTACGCCCACACCAACTCGGAGAACACCAAATCGAAAAGCTGTTCCCGTTTACTATCCATCAGAAAGNGCTTGTCCCCGTGCATGACAGCTGAAAAACGTTCTGCTGCCCCCGGTTAGTGGTTGTATCATAATCATCACCGTCTTAACCCGCATCGTTTTTTTAAATATTTTGTCGTGATAGGTGAGCTGATTGGCCTGTAAATTGTAGTTTTGAGTTTGCTGCAGTGGCTTCTGATGAGTGGAGTTTCCTAAATTCATTTATTCGAATTTCACGAAGAACAATTACTTCCCTGTGTGTAAGTGCATGGATGAATTGAACACGTAAATGTGCAGTCTGCCTTCCCTCTCTCATACACACACACAGAAGTCAGATTATATCGTCAGTTCTAAATCGCCTATCATCTGCAGTCATCAGACCTACTAGTCCACCCATACCAACCGACCTTTCGAATTGAGGACCTATGTTGACTTCTCAGTGAAAACCAGTCCCACTGAATATGACGTATCTGTTTGCTCTAAATGCGGTCAACCTTTCCACGTATGGATAGAAAAAGTGGACAGCGAGTAGTGATGGTTAGTTCTCTAAGTTTATGCCTTACACTCTCTCGAAACGCCTCACCATCATCAGCTCAGGTAGCGTGTTGCCTCAATCCGATCCACAGAGCCACAATTTTCTTCACTTTATACGAGTGATTTTCAAGGATTCCCCCCTTTTTTCTCTCTGGTGACCATAATTCCGGTTGGGATTGATGCGTCATCATCTTACAGTGAAAGACAGTGAAGTGCACTTCATCATTCGTTGCCAAGTTCACAATGTACACAAATTAAGTGAGACGTTACAAGATGGATATGTATTGAACCTGTTTACACAAAACAAATAGGGTGAATCGCGACGGCCAGCGCACAGCATACACAATCTGACCGTGCTTACATTACCTTTTCAAACGTTTTGATCTGATTAGAAGCGACAACAAGAGTGCCAGCGTTGTTGGTCGCTGGAATGGTTCTCTTCACGATCAGGATTCTTCAGGCGTTATACTGACTGATTTATGTTTTTATTGCCAAACAACTGACTAGTCGTTTCAAGTAAACTCGACGTGACAATTTTTTCTTTTAATGTACATCATCAGGATTCATTTGAACCATACTCTCAAGGTAAGGTGCTATGTTTGTGGTTTTATCACTACAGCTGTGGTCGTTTATTTTCCTAGAATTATTTTGACCATATGAAAACTTCTTTGTCAACTTCCTGTAGCAACAGAATGCTCCTCATTCGGACAAGCGATCTCAATACCAACACTGAAGACGCGCGATTGCAGTAGTCGATTGTGATAATTTGTTAGACCTACTAACTTTATTCACGAGTTGAAATTCCGTTGAGTAGTAACTCACAATTCATTCGAAGAAAATCGAATAACTCAACCGTCCATGCGATTGTGTGTGGAATTCATAGAATGTGCACAAAAGCTGGTGTATTGTATTACGATTGAGCTACATTTATACATTGCTCTGGAGAAACCGTCGAAAACTGCCTATTTGAGCTGATCATCCTTAAGACTCCATCTTTACTCAAAATCCTCAGTTCCTCGAATAAATCGTACACTATAGGCCCTAGACCCGAGTTTTGATCTCATTTGAGCTCACTCGTAGTGCATAGTCATCATTCATTCTCGGCTTTGAATTCTGGACTCACCGCATAAAAGGCGTATAGATTGCCACTGAGGAGCTCAAAGTAAAGCGAAGTTCAAGCCTTGTGATTCTAAATGAACTAAGGATTGTGCTCGAGGATGAAATGTGGCGAATAGTCACTTCAAATCCATGACATTTATCCCTTAGCACTACCCACAAATAAATGCGAATTCAAAACTACACATAAACGTACAACTGACTGAAGTTTTCTTCGTGGGTTTTCCACTATCAGAGTTGCCTTATGATCTCGGGGTTGGAACTGTCCTAAAACAGTGATTTGTTGTCTCGAGGATGTTAGCTGTTCGATATCTGCTTTTTGCATCTTTCGTAAGTGCAATCTTTTTTCCGATACCATCCTAACTGTTCAGTTCTTCTCGTTCCCCTGTCGTCCTCCAGCTCCGATGCATACATCGCCTGTGAGGTGAGTCTCCATCCTTCGAACTTCGCGAATGTGTGTTTGCCCCCCCCCCTTTTTGTGCACGTTTTGGTTTTTATGACTGTTTACTTGATCGTTTTTCTTCTGTTTCGATTTTCAGACCAAGACGATCTCTTCGTATTCTAACAGATGTATCGAATATGAGTAAGTTATTATTGACCTTCCTCGAACGTTTTCTTCCCTACAACCACTTCGTCCCATTCAAACGAATGTTTATTCTCTTTGATTGTTCCTGACCCCCTAAATAACCACCTGGTATTCCAATCACAGCTGGACATAATTGTCACGCTTTCTGGCAATTTGGTAAGCAAGATATTACGTGAGCGTATTGCGGACTCACACGAGTTATTCTCCTCGCCAACATTTATTCTGAATGATCTGAAGTCCGAGCATTAGTCATCATAATAACCATTGGTTTCCTCGTTATGTTGTTCGTTCGCCTCGTCTTCACGTAGCTACTCCGTTGCATTTTAGACTAAAACTAGAACCAACTCGGTCGAGTTCCTTGAGTTCACTCGCAGGTAGTTGCGATTGGCCGAAAATATTTGGGTCTTTTTTCTATCACATTATCCCCGACAAGCAGAATCTCAGAACCGTTGTCCATTCGCTCTAAATTCAATAAACCACGGGAAGCTAACTGGGGTTTGGGGGGAAATGGGAGACACCAGTTACGCAACTTCATAGAAGAGACTTACAAACAGAATCCAGGAATTCCTGGTTGCGATAGTCACCAATTCGATTGCGCGATAGGTATACTGAGCATCTCAGACATGTGAACCATCACTACTGAGGNACTGAGGGTGCATCTTCTGACCGTTTGGATGTCGGTTTCCCGTGGACTGTGGTCTTCACACGTCCCCTCCCGTTATATCTCACTACCCTGTTTATCTGCATATCCTCATGGTGCAATTCAGTCCAATCTTGACATATGAGGGTTTTGTTAACTGCGAACTTTCATTGATCATCAATCCTTTGACCTTTGTTTCTCATCAGGCTGTGTTTTGACTCTTCCACGATAGTGCTGTAATCCACGTAGCGGTAGGCAAGCTGTCAGTTTTTCCCCCAATCGGACTGTCTTAGTTTTTTTCTGCCTGTTCTATCACCGCCTACGTTTTGGGAGCTGAATTCATGTACCGTTAGTGAATTTCATTCAGCAGGACCAACCGTTGATTGTTCACATTTTCTGTCTATTGCAGGCGATCAGTTCTAACGGCATGTACCGCCTCTTCATGTCTTCCTGGCCCAAAGTCACACTTCCACATTCCATTATTCGCTCAAGTCTTTCAACATCAAAGCCTCTATCGTGCTGATTATTCTTGTAAATACAATCGTTCTTACTGTCCGTACGAGTTCTACATTAGTTCATAGATTTTGAACCAGTCTGTGGGCAAATAATTGTTTGCTTCTTTGTTCTTGCCCTTCTAAAGTAGGCCAAACATTACTTCCCACATTTTGATCCGATGCTGGCCGAAAGTGTGCTACTTTTGTTCATACAAATGCAATGTGACATCGCCATCGTGCCTCTATGTGTTCGGCAATCTCTTGGAGTATGTAATCAGGATCGTTATCGAGCAATATAAGTAGTTGCTATTGGTGTCCATCAATGTTAGAGGTTTGAATGCCGTCACAACCACCCATTTTGACCGGTAGGTAGTCTGTCAAGAGAGAATGGGGTTGTACTCTGACTTGTAAAATGTTTGTTGTAACATTTCCATCCAAACTAGGACTCATTATCGAACCTAAATGAAATTAGAGTGGGATTACTGTCTTCCCGTGCGTCTTTGTGCTATTTGTGTCTGTAAGCTCACCAATTGCCACAGGTTTTGTGTGTGACGTAATGTTCGTCTATCTTGACGTGTCGGTCGAACGAATTGATAGATTGTAGTGCCTCGAAAAACAATCGTTCCCTTTAGCTCGAACCACCACCTTTGCGTTATCGATCGCGATCTCGTGTCTTGTCTTTGCGCAGTTGCTCCAGAGTTGTGAACTCGGGTCAGCGCTAGTTAGTGTAGACGAGTGCGTAGTTGTTTGCCTGTCTCACCTATGTATTGTTGGTTGCAATCTAGGCACGGGATGACTTGGATTATGCCTGATCGTTTGTGCTGTTCGATTCGGTCCCTGCCGTTGGAAAAAAGACGATCTCACGTTTGTTATCGATTTGCATGCCATCTGGATTCCCAACGGTCAGATTATGCGTTTATGGCTTCTGACACACCGTTATCCTAATTTCCCTTTGTGCATGCTTGCTTTGTCCCCCGAATGCACGCGTTGATTATACTCTTTGGGTATGCGTTAAATAAGAACAGATGAGAGATGGAACTCCTTTACGTTGCGCTTAGCTCCGGTAAATGACGGATGCTTCTGGAATTAGGCTAACGCTCCTGTGGCTAGCTGGTATAGTCATTATCCGGATGTTTTTAAAGATGAAGGAGAAAATGGACTCCCCAGAAAGACAACGTTCTCAATGTTCCTAACCTTAGATAACAGGATATCCGGTCCTCTAACAACCTTTATTCCACCGTCTTTGAATGCAGTTGGGGGAAGGAGATTGGAGTCCGTCACTTTGGACAGTCCCAGAGGACTACCGCCTCAGGTGGGTTTATCAGGATAGACCGTGGGGCATGTGCCAAGATAGCTAGCTATAATAGTAGTTGATACTGATAGCTAGCTAAAGTGCTACGCCCAGTGTGCAAGAACTCGCTGTTGATTGAGAATAGACGAAAGGTCAGCTTCGTAGATCGTTTCACTCACACCATATTTCCCACCGGTGACCCCGACCCGCTGCACTTTCAATCAATCAGATTTTGCGGTCTCTGTACGTCTAGAAGGTGCACACAGCCGAAATCCATGTTACGACAGTGTTCCATACCACAACTAACCGAACCACCAGAATGCAGTCTTCGTAAGCGATCGGTGCTGATTGATGTCAGCAGTTCAGTTCTTACAACCATTAACCATGCACTTTCGTGCACCGGTTTTGGTTGCCCATTTGGATAAAATAACAAAATGATGATTAGAATGTTGAGAGCGGATTTAGGCGAAAGGTAGCATATTTTCATAGACTGAAGTTACAAGAATAATGAGTAAATGCATGAGCGCCACTGTTTGCGACACCCAGCCATATCGCTGTGTCTCTAACCATCGGTGACCATGATCTCTGGGTCCCCAGCCAGGGAGCCTAACGGGACCTGTGTGGGCCAGTCTCCTGGTCAGGGTTTTCATGTCCTCATGCCAGGTCTTAGCTTGACCGCCCTTCATTTTTTTTCCAACCGCTACCTGCCTCGCGAAGCATCGCTCGCCGTGGCAACCTATCTGGTAACATGCGTAGCACATGTCAGCAGGTGGAGGTGGTTCTAGCTTCCCAACTGGACAGACTGACTGAGTCAGCTTATCACAGTCTAGCCGCTATATTGTGCATTCTGAACGCTCAAAGCACCTGGACGGCTTCGCACAGACTAATGCGTGATCGAATTCGGAAGGGGTCGTGCTCCATTACTATCGGTGGACACGTATACAACCCAGTCATTGTTGGCTTATCGCAATGCGTCCGTTGCTTGCTCCAGGACGGCGGACGCCAAGTAGCATCGTCCAAAGTTCGTATTGGCGGGGAGTGCACAGAATGTAAATCTATCCCCCGTTTTCTGAGCGATAGGAACCTATTCCCGCTTCGCTGCAAGATAGCCGACGTACTCCGGTGTTTATATATATCTTGTTAACATCGCGCTACTAGCCCGATTCACTTTATGCAATAGGTCGTATAGTCCGTGTTTGAATCTGTTTGATTGCATCTGGGCCGCATTCCTTGGTTGCGCGCACCGAGACCAAAAACAAGTTGCGCCTTTCGGAACGACGACTGTTTATTTAGCATAAGTCTCCAAGTTTCACTGAGCACAACCGATTGCAGTCTGGGATCTGCGGATTTAGTTTTCTCACTAAGAGTCTTGAAAGCCAGACTGGAAGCCGCGATCCTAGGAAAATGTGAGTGGAGCTTCACGGATTGCTTTGAGGAGGGACTTCAATCACATGATGAAGCTGAAGTCCTGAATGTGACTCTTGGGTACATCGCACACCAATAGCTAGGGTCTTGAGCGTCGTCGGGTGTTTGGGAATGCATGGAACAAGTACTCGCTATCGCATCGAATTCAGCTCAAAAGGCCCCTTTGGTTAGGACACGCTTTGCGTATGCCCTACGGTCGCCTACCGCAGCGCGTCTTACTTACAGACTGGAGAAAGCCATATGGAGACCAGCAGATGAAGTGGAGACGAGGCATGAAGAAATGCACCGCGCTTAAGTGGGTGTCTCTCGTCTTTCGGGCTGGGGTCTAAAAGACTCCGTAACCGCATTGTTGAAGACACTGAAGTTCATAGCAGCAGTGGCGATCATGCTGTTACTTCTTATCAGACCAGACAGTATGTATGCACAGTTGGACTGTGCACTCTGTGTTGACCATAGGGATTCGTTTCTTCCCGTCCCTAAAAGTAAATCCAATCCCTGTGCTTAAACATTCTCACCTACCGTGTATGCGATATGAGTTCGGTAGCGATCAGTGAAATTCGCTTCACTGTATTGCGCTGTACAATTACAAGTTAAACACGACTATCAAAGGCACGGTTACTGCGGTTGGTTTGAAGCGATATCGCGGATGAGGAGATTTCGCTGTTGAGACTCGGCGGTAGACTGGGTAGGACACGGGAGAACAACGACAAGATTGCCATTAGTAAAATCGTCTCCATTTTCTGTTGGAAGTTAACGTGTGCGAGGGGTATTCGGGGATAAATAGAACAGGGCTTGTTTGAGGATACAATCTAGCGTTTGTGCAACCAAGCGCGAACTACAAGTCAGCAGTGCTGTCTCAGGCGAGCTGGTCGCTACCTGTGAAGTCCATTCCAGTGGTGATGGTCATATCTGGTGGTGGGAAACACTAATCACGTCACAGCGCTGCGTACAGATATATGTAGTGTTTTGTTCCCAGAACCCATCACACCCTCGAGCACCATCGCTTATTCAGTGAACCCAAACCCACCTTATTCCTCGTTAGCTACAAGTTGGTAGCCATTTCATCATTCACGACTTAG